CTTGCGCGTTAAAATCACCTGCCAGCACTATAATATCAGATTTGTGGTTCAACCGAATCAGTTCAGTGAGTTTGTCGTAAAATTCATCCTTTTGTGAAGCGGGACTGCAGTTGGTTGGTGCATATGCGGAAATGATGAACAAACACCTTTTGGTGTTGCTACCCTTCCGAACACTAACTGAACCCTGTNTTTATCGTTTAGTACGATACCTACAACACGCTGACCCAGTGAGCGGGCTGCGTCGTCTCCTGATGCGCGAAGGAAATACTTCGAGGACAGACCCGGCGCACTCAGGTGGCTTATAATACTAGGATCCTGAATTCGTGTCTCTGATACGCAACAGACATCGATTTCTGGAGACTCCATTGTACGCGCAAGACACGCCTGTTGACCCACCTGCATAACAGTCCTCACGTTGGAAGCCCCCAGATTGAGAGGTTGACGAGGCTTCAGAATCTGCACTTTATTTACAGGAAAACTAGTTACAGTCCTATTTGGCAAAGACCTTTGGCGAGTGACAACCAAGTTGTTTGAGGGAATATCACAGGTCGGAGGAAGGTGCAAAGGGATAGGGTTGGGTACGGAAGACAAAGAGTTAAAGCAACACAATGTCGTCTACACACTCTAAATCGGACAGCCTGATACCTGGGGGTAAATCCATATCACTATCCTCGCACGAGGATAAGGCTGTTTCTATTATCAAATCCATAACAAAATTAAATAGAAAAATGGGGGGAGGGCAACCCTGACAAATACCACTTTCCGCGGTGAACTCGGGCGAAAAAGTGTCGTAAGCTCAGACTCGGCTTCGGCCATTGATATGAAGAGATCATGACATTAAAATAAACTTCTCGGACATACCCTTTGGCGAAAGGCGGCGCCAAAGTTTAAAGCGGTCTACTGAGTCGAAAGTCTCTTTCAAATCGAGGAAGACAGAAATGGTGGGTCTACGAAAAGAAGATTGAAGATTTCGACGATACAACCTCGATCAGGTCCAAAACCAGTGTGGTTCTCACGCGTGCAGCGTTCAGGTGCGCTACACAATTGGTGGAGTATGATGCCAGCGAGAAGATTGGAGACGATGTTGATTAAACTAATTCCTCTGTGGTTTTCACAAGAGGATCTATCACCCTTTTTGGGAAATTGGTAACATGACCGATTCACACCATTCTGTTGGAACATGTTCTGTTTCCCATATTGACACCTGGAGTTTGGTCAACTCCAGGACTAACGCTGTGCCTCCATCATTAAACACCGATGGGCGCAACCCATCTGGGCGAGAGGCCTCGAGCCTTTTGAGATAACATTTCCCCGGGAAACCTCCATTTCCGATGGAGAATCGGTATCAACTGGGAGTATATGCCCAATCGGCCTGGGGGTGTGTGATAGGTCAGATATCGATGGGGGCCAGTTGAAGTGAGCCTCGAAGTGTCCAATTCATCAGGACGGCGTTGCTGATGGTGAATCAGTGTGCCATCGGATTCCTTAATCACCTGACTTACGCCTATTTACTTGGGCCCCGTATTCCTAGTTAGACGAAAAAGATTGTGACTAATACCATTAGCCGCAGCTTTCTCCATCTCTCTACATCGTTCTACCCACCACTTCTCGCAATCATTCCTCAGACTCTTGATGAGCTGGCGTTTAAGGGATCTGCTTGCCGTCGTATTTGGCCTCGGGAGGGAGGGCTCTGTGGGCGTCCAGCAGGGCAGCCGAGGTGGGCGAGAGCCATCGTTTGTGTTTGGGGTATGCATCAGGTTCCAACATGGTTTTTATTGATGTTTGCATAGTTTCGTTGACTTGCTTCCAATGTTCATTGAGTCCTTCGACTGGTGTTTGAACAGGTGATCGGAGAGCTCCTATTCGAAGGCTACTTTGAAACAATCGCTGACACTGTTTCGTGGGAATCCATTGTCGGTGGCTTTTTTTGCATTTGTTTGCCAGGCATAAGGAGAATTCGGCTCGTGACACGGCGTGGTCTGTATCTACAGGTGTGGACCAGTAAGAACGGCAGTCTTGAAACGGCCCTCCAGCGAAAACTGGTGGCGGTGCGGTCGATTTGGGTCCAGCGCCGTGAAGAAATTGGCGGTTTCCGTGTAAGGTGGTGTCGTTTCTTGTGCTAGAAGTCGGTGCCTGACAGAAACAGTCCGTTGTCCGCGTAGAGTTGAAGTAGGCGTTCTCCGTTGTCCGTCCGGTTGGCTGAGATTACATGTGATCCGCCAAGAAGCTTTTCTGATTCGTCCAGGGATCCCACTTGAGCATTGAAGTCTCCGGCGACTATTACGATGTCCGATAATCGAACACTTTGAAGTAATGGAGAAAGATCCTTGTAGAGTTCGTCCTTGATCTCAGATGTACTGCAATCGATCGATGCATACACCGATACGACGAATAGGCATAGACGCTTCGTTCTGTAACTGTTGATCCG